TCCTTGCCACTGATTTTAGATCACTTGTTGTTCCCTTGTCCTTGGGTTTGTTAACATCCACTTCCTTTCCCCCCACCTCCCCCTCTCCCATGTCCCCTGGAACTTTCAGTCAGTTGTTTTCTTCTCCAGATAGTTTTCCCACCTAGCTTATCTAGATAGACCTGCAGAGATAATAACATGCACCAAAAACAAACAAACAAGACAAAGCCAAACAAAGCAAGAAAAGAAAAGAAAACAACAACAAAAACCAACGACCAAAAAAAAAAAAAAAAGAAAAGCCTATAAATATTTCAAGGTCTGTTTGTTGATCTTTAGGAGTGCTTTCCGGCCGAATCTTAAGGGGTGCCACACCCTGGCCCCAAAGTCTATTTTTGATATTTCCTGGGGACTTCATTGCTCTGCTCCCCTGTTCGGTTGCACACCCTTAGTGTTTTGCCTCGGTGTGGTAGGGTCAGATTGGGCACAATCCCCACACTGTGTCTCCAGTGTTGTCCCCATAGCACTATGGGTCAGTGAGGGATATTGCATCTCATAGTGGGGTCCGCCCTATGGTCCTCTCTGTGCATTGCTGCTCTGAGCAGGGATATCGTCCTCAGGGCTTGGTGGGCCAGGATGTGCTCCACTCTCTCTTCCTCACCCTTCATTTGTTCCTGTCTGCTCTGATCAGACATGTCCCTCTCCCTGAGCTGTAGTTTCAGTGCTGTCCTCTGAAATGAATTATTCAGGGGGGTGGAGGGCCTGTCCACATAGTTGGGATTGGGGCCAACCCCTCAGACCTCGCTACTGGTTCCCTGCTTCATACAAGTATGTTGCATAACTCTTTACAGGAGTAGAAAGCCTGCTCTGTCTCCTGAGGTGTGGCTGGTGGTTTCAAACCACTGACCTTGTAGTTAGCAGTCAAACATAACCACTACGTCACCAGGACTCCTACCAGACAAATGCACAACTCTTATCATGTCCCTCCCCAGCTTACAATGAATCAAGATAAAGTCCCCAAACCATGTTGCAGCCCGAGAGCGGGCGCATGCCTCCCTACACCCTATGCCTTGCTGTTGTTAGGGGCTGTCTGCTTGGTTCTGACTCACAACGACCCCATCACTAAGGCGATCCGCCCCTTCCATTCTCCAGGGCTATAATCCTGAGAGTTGTGAATCGTGAAGATCTTTCTTCCTCAGAGCTGCTGGCGGCTTCGAAACACCAGATTTTTGGTTAGCAGACCTGTGCCACCAGGGCTCCGTCCTACACCAGCATGGTCCAGGAACCACATCCTTAGAGTTCCCTGCGGCCAGCCCCTTGGCCACGCTTCCTGCTCCCCAACCAGATGAAACACCAACTACCTTACCTCGGCCAGTGGTGAGCGCCTTGCCTGGCTGTGCCCCCGCTTGTTCCTCTTACTTCGTGCCTTAGACACCCTGGACAGGGGAAGGAAGCGGGGGCAGCCTTCCGGACGGACAATCCAGGCAGATGCCACCACTCTTTGTCTTGATGTTGGCCAGAGAGGACGCAGGGACCCTACGGCTGGACCACCCCAGGTGTCTGGACGGTGGGCTCAGAGGCCAGGGTTGGGCTCCTGGTTTGCCTCTTTAGCCTGCTGCCGGGCATCCACAAGGAGCAGGTACTGCACTTGGGGGCATACGTGGACACCTGTGCCACACATTTTATTGCAGCTCTCAGCATTGAGAGCTGTCCCCTGGACGGGCCCGCCCTGAGAAGCAGAGGGCAGAAAGGCTCACAGGACACAGCGGTATAAAGTTATCATCAGCCAGACATAAAGAATGTCCTGCAAACTGCTGACGGTGCTAGTCTGGCTTCTCTGCAAAGCACCTTGTGATTGGAACCTGCTGCCGTGGGAACAGCAGCCCCAGGCGGGGTGGGGGCTGGGGGGGATGCTATGACAGGCGCTTCTGGTGACTGAGACAGAGGGCAAGCCTGAAGGGGGACAAGGAGGGGTGCCCTCTGGCAGGAAACAGCCTGACAGAAGCCAAGGACCGTGGAGAATCCCCCTCTCCCCTGCTCCCCACTCAACATCCACCCTCCCAAGCTTGGAAAGCACTTCGGCAGAAAGTCTCCGTGCTGTCGGTCAAAAGGATGAGTTGCAACTGTGAAGGATGAGTTGCAACTGTGTTTCTGAACGTGGTGACTAAAGACAGGCCACAGGAGACTTCAAGGAGACCCTTAGAGAGAGAAGACGCAGGTGCTTACAGGGAAAACAACAACAACAAAATTCACCACTGGAGACTGCTCCACTGGCCTGCCTGGAGTTGGCGTGAGGGCGCTGACTTCTCAGCCGAGTCAGGAGGCAGCAGTGGTCAGCAGACAGTCTGAGAAGCCAAAGCCAGCCACCCTGTCTGAAGGCCCTGCTCACAGGCCACTAGGCACCCACCGTGGGCGCTTTCTCCCCAGGGACTTTAGGAGACATGCATGGGGGGCATTTTCACCTCCTTAAAATAACACTGAAGGGAGGCCTGGCTGGAACTCCCCTTGGCCTGGGCTCATCACACGCTGACTTATTGACCCTCCTCATTGTTTCAGCTGCCCCAGCTCCAGCACTGCTGGCAGATGAGGGCGAAGGCAAGCTCCCATTTCCTGATCAACACGCAGGATAGCAGGATACGCTGGGAGAGGGCTGGAGAGGAAGGAACTGGGGAGCCGTTGAAAATATTTGTGGAGGAGCCCACAGCTGCTACTGTCCATGGTCTCCCCACAAGCAGGTCTTCCTCAGAGCCTGGGGTGGGCTGGCAGGTGGGAAGCGGAGCCTAGCACCTACCCGACAGCCCCGCCCTCCACCCTGGGGGATTTCCTCCAGGGGTCTCCCCAAGGCCTTTCCAGGCCCCCTAGCCTATCTCTGTCTGATTAGACTACCTCTGCCACCTCAATGGGGCCTTACATGAGTTATCTCCCATCTATAAAAGTTTACTGCCCCAGGTCTGCTGGGGTTTCCTGACTGAAGTATTGTGTGGTAGCAATAAAGCCATAAAAAATATGCCCTCGTGTGTGTGTGTGTGTGTGTGTGTGTGTGTTCAAGCTTTCTTAAGGCCCAAACCCTGCATGCCCTCCTCTCTACCCACCAAGCTGTTTCCCTCCTCAGCCTGCAGAGCATTCTTTCTCTTCCTTCTCACTCTTCAAAGACATTTCACAATCCCCTTCCTCCGAATGTTCAGATTCCTTCAACTCTGAGCACTGCCTCCGCCTTCTCTTATCACAGTTTTTCTCAATCTTCACATTCAGCTTCTCCAGCCTCCAGGGCCGCCTAGACTGTGACCTCTGTGAATGCAGCATCATTGTTTGCATACTTAAAAAAAAAAAAAAATCACTGCCATCAAGTCAGTTCTGACTCAGGATGACCCTATAGAACTGCCCTTGTGGGTTTCAAATGGTATCAGTCTTGACAGGAACAGAAAGCCTCACCTTTCTCCTGAGGAGTGGCTGGTGGTTTCGAACGGCCGATCTTGTGGTCAGCAGCCCAACACACAACCCACTAATACACTGAAGCCTGTGCGTGCTGGAACATAGTGGGGCTGCTTTATTTTTCCAGGCCTCCCAAGTTCCCCACCTTTTTCGCGGTACAGTCTGACCACTTTTCTATCCATTCCACTTAGAGTAAAATAATGGCTTTTTCCTTCTCTGAGAGGTTTCTGCTTTACACGGGTCCCCGCTGTCACAGGTTTTGAGGTACCCTC